TCTTAGGGCTCTTGCAATTTCAACAATGAGCTTGAGAGGTCGTGGATTTTGTTGCCAGCCTGAGTGCATCTTGTTTTCTCTTGTAGTCATCTAAGTTGATCCACTTACCACCCCTACCCTCACTGTGCTTTCCCAAGCACTTTTGGGTCTAGCCTGAGTTCGTTCATAGATTAATGTAGGAAGATTGTCCCCCGTACCTTGCTTGTCATATGGTAAAATTAATATATTGTCCACCAACTAAATCCTGTAGAAATATTAGGTAACATTAATTACAATGTCATGTTTATGTACTTTCATTCTAATACATCTTAGTTGTTCCACAACAGTTAACTGTTTCACTACCTAATTCTTTTCAGGGACTAGCAAAGATTTAATATAATGAGCAAACAGTAGTATGCTTTCATTTATATGTCTACTTTCATATTAATGAAACATGTAAAGAAAAGGGACAGATTATGACTTTCAAGGTAATAGTTAATTTGCACTGAAGGAGTAAGTCCAAGTAACTATTTAAATGATTTATTTACTAGTTTTTAATACAAGGTATATGTGGAAGATGCTTTTTGAAATAATTCACTTGAAGGTAAAGTATGGTGCACACTCTGAAGTGATGAATGCTGTAATTAGTGATTCCAGAAAAATCTCTTCAAATTGAACTGAAACCTGTTCAATCCAGAGAGATCAGCATCTCAAGCTCAAATGAAATTCATAATCTAACATGTAATATTTTAAATAACTTGTTTTCAATTTTGGTTGATTCTTCTACTCATTGCTGCTTCATAATAACTTCACACTATTTTGTCATTTCTTGCAGTATGCTAATGAAGGATACAAGATTTAATCACATTTCAATCACTTAGACTTCTACGGTTCATGCTGCACAATCACATTATCACTTTAAGGATTTTTTCAAATCACACTATATTGCCAATATGTACTAACTTACAAGTCCCCAAAAGAGAATTTCTCTTTTAAACAGACATTACTAGAGTATTTCAAGAAAAATGGACAAGTGTCTACACTTAAGCTGGGTTGCTTAAATTGTGACATCTGTACCAAATGTTAATATTCAACTTTAAAAAAACACCAGTTATAACTAAGGTATAAATTACTTTTTGTGTTAGACATCATAGATTATGTTTTAAATTAAAGGTTTTATATTCCTCATTTGGGAACTTGGATGCTGTCAAATAATATCAGACATTTTCCCTGTTAGTTTTTGCCATTTTCTAAATAACTTTTTCATTTCAGGTAACAAAAAGTAAACTAGTTTTAAGTTTGGAGATGTAGAAACTGCACAGTATTTGAAATTAAATTCTTACAAGCAAGGGTAAAGAATATTTTTCTAAAAATTTGAAAAGACTAATGACTCTCTGCTGAAATAATATATTTAAGCAGTTTTTGAAAAGTAATTCTCCTTTGCACTTGGTCTTTAGGAAAAACAGAAAATAAGAGAAGCTCATCTTTGAACAGAAGAGAGAGCAAAATGCATTCCTCTAATGCAACAGGACATATGGAAGATAAGCTGGGTGATTAGTTATTTTTAAGCATAAATCTTATGTTGTAGTTTAAAAGAGGTACATTACGTCAACCTGGGATGCTTAAAAAAGTCATTGCTGACACTGGAAGCCAAAATGTCCCTTCTTGAACTAAAAATGCATTGGTATCATGCTTACTTGGCAGAAACCAGAAAAGCCTGTCTTTAAATGAAGTATGTATTTCCTGTCATCAGTTGACAAGGGGTCTATAATGAAGCTGAAAAAATAAATTACAAAATGTTATAATAGATGGATAGGTTTTATACTGGAGGATTTGATTCAATTCAAACATTTTATCAGGTTGTGTTTAGGAGCTCTAAATTACTGGCCACATTTTGGACATCAGAGCTTTGCTCTGTTCCCTCATAGCATTACCCATGTAGATCTTTTGTGCATGTTTTCACTAATGATTTTTGTACAAAAATATATAATTACTAAAACCTTTTCCTCCTAGCGTTTCCCTTTAACAGGTGTTTGTTGCTTTTTGTTTTACACTGATCCATTTACTCACAGAAGAGCCTACTTAATTGATTCGATTAAATCCTATAGAAACAAATGCTGTTGTCAGAGGGATCTTTATGAACATAAAGATTTATTGGAGCAAGATATTTGCAATATATTTCACTTTTCACAAAAGAATTCAGTGAACGACAGGGAGCTTTTCGTAATGAATTTTTGGCCATGGACTGGCTTGAACATTATGATTGTCAGTGGCATACATCTGTAGGAGTCCCTGTAGAAGTCTTTTCATGTGCAATTTTTTTCTTCATGTGTAAGTTTCCCCATAGAGTAGGAATTGTTCTGTTAAGTACTTTACCTGGATTTCTTCCTTATGTTTTGCTGTGGCCTTTCCTCCTCTAGTCAGGTATTATCTTCCTGACATTGTGATCTGGTCAGATGACAGTGTCCAACCCTGTTACACTGTTATCCTGGGAATGTTACCATTTTTACAGCAGTTCATATTGCTCATGTTCACTTTGCCTTATTCATATGTGAGACCACAAACTGAATATTTTCTGACTTGTTTTCCCATTTAGCTCATCGCTTTCATAATAATACTCCAGAGAATAATTTAATCAGTCATCTACTCATCCCAACAAAAGCATCGGTGGCCAGAAGCAAGAGTGCTGCTTCATTATCCATCCCAGGAAAAGAAAATACAGGTAACAGTCATACACTATAGAAAGCTTGAAAGTATTAGTGTCTGTACTTCAAAAAATGGGCTCCATCACTCAATTTGTTGCATTTAGTCATTAAAATAATGTGAATCATTAGCTTCCAAACTTCTAGCATAGTAATCTGAGTAATGGATAATTTATATGCTAAGATAGCTATCTTTGGTGGTGGTTGTTCAATTTTAAAGCTCTATGAATTTTGAAAATTCACTAATGTCAAGGAAGAAAGTTTCCTACTCTACTTTTTCCTAAAATATGGAATTTTGAATCTAACTTTAAGCATTTTAATTGAGGGCATAAAGATTGTTAGTAAAATAAAACTCATCTTCAGGGTTATGTGGCCTTTCTCATTCATAGCTTCTCATTCATAGGTACAGAAGGGTAGATATACCTGTAGGTAGCAGGTAGCAAGACACCCCAAGTAATGAAGAGCACTAATGCATTGTCCTCATTATTTTCCCCCTCTGCTTTTTCCTTTCCAAAACGTGTCCTGCCCTTTTTGCTTTTTTTCCTATCATTATTCATATGAGTAATAAAATGAATCAAAATGCTATCACAGCCTTCCTTATAGTGCAGCCTTTCTGCTTTTAGTTCTGATTTCCAACATTGTTTATGCCCAGTAACATGTATATCATGTTATTTTCCACCAGTCTTCCCCACCTCCAATCTATTGTAAGATTTTTTTACAAGTTTTGTTTTAGTTTAATGGATCACCATTTTAAAAAGCTCAATATTTTGCCTTAAATTTCTATAGCTAATCATAATAATAATCTAGTTAGGCGGGGGATTTAGCTCAGTGGTTTCGCCGCCTGCTATGCAAGCACAAGGACCTGAGTTCGATCCCTGGTACCAAAAAATAATAATAATAATAATAATTTAGTCATTATACTTACTAAATTTTCTGTAACACAAGCTGTTGATGTTAAATAATGTGACTGTTTATGTACATGCAAATATGTAAAGAAAATACCTAGAAAATCAATATTTATATTGCTGTTCCACAGTTATTTGCCTAAAACATAAGGCAGGAATAGCTATGATCTGGTAGTTTCTGACAGCTATTGGGAGCTCACCTGTGTTGGCACAGTGGAGTCGTGACGCTATGACATTGTGTGTGTGATGTGCCCATGTGCAGTGCTTACAGCATAAACACGAGAGTGTTTGCCGTCACTCATTCTGTAGCTGAGAGCTTGCATTTTCTGTCTGCTTTCACAGAGCTTGAGAAATCCCCAAGTGCCCCTACCCTTACCTAACTCCCTAATCTTGTTCGATAGTTAAAGTTTTCCAGGTTCCTTCAACTTTGAAGTTAGCATTAAGTTTTTATTTCGTTTGTTTTAAATATTTATTTTCTACTGTCATCAAAGCATACTCTTAAGAAAATTACTAAAAAGGAATCTAAGCACATTTATTCCTTTAAAACCTACCGAAAAAACCAAAAACTGTTTTGAGAAGACCTCGTGCATGAGAACCAGCCACCAAAGGTAGAAGATACTGAGAGACCAAAGAAAGCAGACAGCCAGGCATGGTGGTGCACGCCTGTAATCCTAGCACTTGGGAGGCTGAGGCAGGAGGATCTCTGCAAGTTCAGGGACAGCCTGGGCTACCTAGTGAGCTCAAGCCCAGCCTGAACTACATAACAAGATCCTGTCTCAAAACAAAACCAAAGAAGCTGACAAATTTGGGATTACCAAAGTGTGTCTTTCGGACAGCAGCAAGATAGGCAGATTCTTGTACCCCAGATTTCAGCAGCAGGAAGAAGGGGATTATATCCTAAGCCAGACAAAGTGGCCCATAGCCAATTAGAATGTATGATGATAAGCTTTTATATACAAATACATTATTACTTAAATATATCAAAAATCATTTGTAATAAATCATTTGTAAGATATTTGTAAAATAAAATAGTTGCAATTTAAAAAAAAAGTTTTATTCAGATGTAGTCAATCTTGGGTAATTTATTCTATTTTAATTATTTGATGAGCTCATGTGAAAATTTTCCATCCATACTTAAAGATGAGGTGGTGAATATATTTACTAAGTTGTAAGAAAGCTACCAGCAAGTACTTTTCAAAGTGTTTATTATATAAACAATAAATACATGGCACAGAAAAATCTTTTAAATGTAATCTTCCTACTATCCCAGCATTCACTGGTAACAATAATTTTTTTTGCATTTATATATTTTTTTCACAGACTGAGATAATCTACCTTTATTAAACTCAATATATACCATTTTCTAGGTCCAAAAATCGCGTATTATGTTCATGATTTCCTTAGTATAGTCCAAGTTTTTGTTGAACATTTGGATTATATTTTCAGCAGTGTCAATATTATAAACAATGGAATAGTTAGCAACCCCATATAGATAATTTTATGTATTTATCTCTTCTTTGCTAAGGATAAACATAGAAGTAGAATTGCTAGAACAAAAAAGTATACTTTTTAAGTGGCTCTTGATATATATTACCAAAATGCCCCCTAAGGAGAATATACTAATCTGTACTCCCACTAGTAGTATATAAAGTTACCTGGTTCCAAACATTGGAATTATTATTTTCTTCCATCTTAGTTGACATGGCATATTAGCATTTTTGTCCATTTCCTGGGCAGAGATAATTTGGGTTGTTAAAACTGGAAGAGACATTGGAGATCCTATCCCTTCTGAGTGCCTTGATACCATTATTAGTAGGGTGAGGAAATGCTCCTTAATTCTGTTCTGAAACAAATCAAGTTTGGAGTGTCTTACATAATCCCCCTTATAATGGTAAGATGTCTAGCCTAGTGAAGAGGTTCAAATTAGTCTTAAAAAGTCTCGAAGATCTTGCAGTTTTCATGAAAACCAATCTGAAATGCAGTGTGACTAAAGTAGAAGTGGCTTATTGCAAACATCAGCTTTGGAGAAGCATCTTCTTTTCATCTGTACTAGGCCATTGCTATCACAGCAACTCTGTTGTTGGTGTTGCATCTGAAGTACTAACTTCATGTTGGTTCTGTCCTATGTCTGTGATGCATTTACTGAACACTCGCTGTGCTATGTGTAATCCCTGTGATTTTCTAAGTCTCTTTTCTCTGTACGTGGTGTTTTTAATCTTGCCAAATTTCTAACTTTATGGAATTTTACTTCCTGTTCTCATTTACTATAGGCGTCACCAAAAAGTACCTACTCCAGTATGTACACACACCGCCCTTGAGGAGCCATAGTAGCGAACAATTGAAGACTTCCAGCATGCACAGCAAGTCAACTGAGAAAATACCTCCACAGACAAAAGTAGACGCTGCTCCCCTGGAGAAAGTGGAAGCACCCCTCAAGGCAAAAGTGAAAGCGTCTCCCACAGCATCTTCTGCAGCAAGCAGGGAAGAACTCCCCAAGGTGAAGCTGGAGTCCGCCCCCCGGGTGAGTGTGGACGCGACCCCTGGTGCGAGCATGGACATGACCCTCATGGTGAGCTCGGAGGCAACCCCCGAGATGAGCATGGACACAGCCCCCAGCTTGAGCTGGGAGGCGACCCCAGGAGAGAGCACAGACATGCTTACCGAAGTGAGCAGGGACACATCCTCCGAGGTGAGCATGGAAACCTCTTCCCTGACCAGCGTGGAAGCATCTCCGGTGGTGAGCTTGGACACCTCCCCGGAAGTGAGCACAGACGCTTCCCCTGTGGCAAGCATGGACTTCTCTCCTGAGGGGAGCGTCAAAGCCTCCCTGGAGGGTATGCAGGAGCTGCCTGGAGCAAGTGTGGAAGCTCCCTCTAGGGCGAACACAGAAGCAGGGCCCAAGACAAGTGTGGAAGAATCACACGAGGAGGGTGGGGCAGCCCCTCCTGAGGTGCTGGTAGAAGCAACCCCCCAGGCGAGTGTGGAAGAACCCCCTAAAGAGCCCTGCAAGGTGAGCAATAAAAGCATCTGCAAGACAAAACTGGCTCTCCAGAGGTTTGTCAAGTACTTTTCACTAACAAGGTTTCTAATAAAACATGTAATTTCATTGTATAGATCACACACAGTAGGTTAGGCTTTACAACATGACTAATTTGTCGTTTATATAATTTTACATTCTCTGATGTTCATTGTACCAGCACCTCCCCCATGCTAGGTTATTAGTTAATTTTTCATACAAGGCAAAAAATGTATCTGTTTATATGAACTCTTTCTAAATTCTGAAGAAAAAGCTTTTGAGAAATATTCCAAACCCTTAATTAAGACTTAGAAATGCAATTAGGTTTTTGAAGTAAGATTTCTTTTAATTTATTTCTTTGATCTATTGAATAGTGTAATATAACTTGTTTGTCTTGAAGAAAATATCTATGTACAGTTTCTGGCTTTCATGCACTAAAGAAAAATTGAGAGTTTAAGGAGCTAATAGTTGTATTTTATTCAGAATGTTTCTCTCTTAGAAAGAAAGCTAGCTGCAGTAAAATAATTGCTGGTAATTTCTTATTACATTGATCTGCTCAGAAACCAGAAGTAGACAAACAGACCTCAAACCCTGTTAGCAAGAAGCGCCCGTTGGGGAACATACCACGTTACAAATGGCCTTCATCTCCTACAAAGGAGAGGCATCCACCCTCACCCATAACTACTATGTAAGTAGTCTGTTTGAAGCTGTTCTTCTTAAGTGTCTTACTAGAATAAATTTTATTTCGGTGTTTCATAAATGAAATATATAGTATACATGGCAACACAAGTATACAGAAAAAATTTTAAAAGTAGATTTACTTTTGTTTATTTAAAAAATTCCAAGAGAATAATACCATCATCATACAGTGCTGAGACGTGACTGAGGGGCTGGGGATCAAACCCAGGGCCTTGCACATGCTAGGCAACCACCGTACCACTGAGCTATATACCCTAGCCCTGGACATTGTATTTTATGAAATTGTATACTAAAATTAATTAGCACACATTTGTTACTTTTTCGCAGGCAGAATCAGAAGAACCGCCCCCCTTCACCTTTACCAGGCTTAAAACAGCCATCACAGTCTCCATCCCATAAAATAATACCCATCCAACGTACTCTGTTTGTGCCAAATGCATTGGGTACTTTCAAAAAGAAAAGAGAAACTGTTTCTAAAACTACAAATGAATTTGAGGCTGTGAGCCAAAAGCGTGCGATTCACGAAGGTAAGTATATTCACTAAGAAGGTTTTTGGGGTTTTTTTGTTGGTTTTTTTTTTTTGGTAACACAAAAAAATCTTAAGGTCCTTTGGGAATGTTCAACTTCATTTTTTTTTCCCACTTGAGGTAAAGAGAATTTAATCAACCACTGGTCCTGGAACCGTCTTCTCTTCTTGCTTGCCCTTGTCAGAGCTTCTCCCCCATTCCTTTGCTTTGGAAGGTATATTTCTGGATGAGAAGGGTGGTCTAGGTCAGTGGTGATGAACCTGTGGCACACATGCTGCAGCAAGCTGTTTGTTATCATTGAAAGCTCTAAAAGGTTCGCCATCACTGGTCCACATAATCCCCGTGGACCCTTTCAGCTCTGATATTGGCTAGTGGTTGGAGAGAGCACATCCAGCTATTGGTGGATGAGTGGGTTTTTACAGGAGATGTAGGTCATTTTCCATACATAGACCTAACATGTGCTATGTCTTGGTTTGTGTTCTATGCAGGCTCCTGAAAGTGTCATATTACTGTTTTGCCTGTTCTGTGCATTCTTACACCTGTAGACATTACTTAATTTCTAACACACTAGGGAATTTTACTTTTCCAAGGAACTCCACTCCACAGTGAAGTCTTTGTAACAGAAATAATCTTTTTATTACAAATTATTCATCCTTCATATGTCTTAAAATTTTCATTTTCACATGTGGCTTATTGAAAATAAATTTGTTACACAGAGTAAAATATTATACTTTCATGTATTCACTTTATTTTACTGATAGCCTTACTGTTATCAAAGTTTCACTCAGTAATAAAAATGATGTACAGATCTCCAAATGTATGCCAGGTATACTTTTGATTAGTTGAGTATTTAAAATTTGTAGTCTGCATTTGGAGCAAGCATAAGCTTGGCTTTCCCTGTTTTTAGTATTTCTTCATCCTTTCCCAGAGTCATTTGATTGTTTTCTCAAAACAGCTAAAACCAAAGTAGAAGTATATTGTTGCATTTTAGAGTAAGTAGTGGTTTAAAAGAAACAAAATGCCAATTCTGTTGTTGAGGGGCAGTTGGGGCTTTGAACAACTCACCTATAGTTTGCATGTTATTTAGACATTTTGGTCTTCACACATATGGTTTGGTGTTTTGATGTTTTGGGTTGCGTTGCACTTTGTTGGGTAGAGAGGCAATGAGTTCCCTAAACTGTTTCACATGTTTATTTAAACTAGAGTCTGGTAATAAAAGCACACCAGGAACCATGAGTGCTGAGGAAGCAACAAAAATTTTGGCAGAAAGGCGCCGTCTTGCTCGGGAACAGAAAGACAAAAAGGAAGAAGAGAGACTCCAGAAAGAAGTGGAACCAAGGTCAGTACAAAGCCTTTCTATTCTCTAAATCTTGGCTAGGGCCCAAAACTTAAAATTTTACCCTCAAAGAACAATTGACTTTTTCTTCATTGAAGATCAGAAATCGTTCATTGCCTTCTAAACCGAGAAAGTATAGGAAGCATTTCAAGGCTTTGCAACTAGCCGAGCAGAGGACACTGACGTCTCCATACGTCATGTGCCATGAAGGTGTGCTAGGAGAACGCACAGGGAGTTCAAGCTTGTGTCCAGGATCCTGTCTCTCAGCAGTAGCACCTGAGTGATCACAGGACTGTGCTGCTTGCCTTCACTGGTGTCAGCCCCTTTCTTTATTTTAAAGACTTGTAACTTTAAGGTTTGTAAACCTAGAAATTATACTGTTTTACTTTGTGGGCTTTCCGGTGGCTTTTGTGACACCTGAATCTTATCAGGCCACTGACTTGCTGGAAGGATGTCCTGTGGGCCGTGAGTCTTACGTACAGCTATGTGCATTCTAACTTGGAAGAGCGGTTCCTTGCTGTTCCATCTTGAGCCTCATTTTATATTGGGCTGTATAATGTAAATCTCTGTCCACTGCTGCAAAGAATACCTATAGTACTTGACTGTATTTTCCAGTATTAAGTGTTCTTTGAAATAATATTTGCATATACTTTATATGAGCTTAGAGAAAGGAAGCGAAAGAGGATATTCGGCTTAGCAAGAAATTGTAACTGGAAGAGTATTATTCATTGCCTCGTGTAAACAGAGCTAATTTAGCATTTGAAAGCACTGAGCACTCGGACACCATTATACCCTCTTCTAAATTACCCATCATCCCCAAGTGAGACTGAGTGTGAGCAGATGTAAGGCCTTGGAGGTGGTCTCTGTGGCTTTAAAAAGTTAAAGAGTGATTATTTCTCTTTCATGTGTACATAGGTATGTATCTTTAAGATGCAAGGTTGTCCAGTACTTGATAGAAACCTTTTTCTACTCCCATTCTTTTTCACCCCATTTAAAAGGGTTAAAATTATATAAATCCCATGTAGCAACAACACAGAAAATGAATCTGGTTTAAGTGTCAATTCAGTTACTATACCCAAGTAGTTTCACATACTACTGAAAGCTTTATATGGTAATGACTAAGATAAATACCAAAAGATATTTATATGTACTTTGTGTTACTAGGAAAGCGGCAGATGTGTCAAAGAAGGTGGAGGAAGCCCAAGTTGAAGAGTTCTCAAAATGTGAAGATAGGCAACAAGAAAAAGAGATTGAAAAGAGCAAAGGATATCCGCCTCAAGAAGACCAGAGAATAATGCAACAGGTTTGCTGGCTTCACACTTTAGCAACAGATAAGAACCAGCTAATAGGGCCAGGGATTTAGCTCAGTGGTTCTGCCACCTGCCTCGCAAGCGCAAGGACCCAAGTTCGATCCCCGGTACCAAAAAAAAAAAAAAAGAACCAGCTAATAAAGTTACAGTTGAAACTCAAAGCAGCAATCTGGTTTTGAGCAGATAGATCATCTCCAGCCACCCCCAGCAAAGCCTTGGAATGTTTCACAAGGGCAGCAAACAAACCCAGAAAGCAGCAGGTTGTACATTACCACACCTTTATTTTGGATAAACAGCCCAGGTCAGTTTCCCTGTCTTGCATTCTGTGGTGCTACACATGGCACTCACAGCTGCACCTCACACCCTTCAGCAGGTAAGAAAGCAAGACATTAGGAGTACCTCTAAAAGTTTAAAATCATCAAATTGACCAAGAAGAATGTCTTACTCTTTAAATTCAAACTGCCAGCTAAATCCCCAAACTGAGCTTAGGCTGTGCTCATTTGGCAGTACTGCCACAGCCCAGTTGATATGCCCAATGCTAGTGTATCATTCATCAAAACTGGTTGTATGCTTCTTGAATGATTGTATGCTCTGGCGTTCCTTGGGAAGGAACTGTTATGAATTCTCTTAGTGCTTTTGAGAAACCTAAGATTTTGGTTCCTAAGACATTGCTATGTTAATGGATAGCTCCATAGTCATTCATATACTTTTAAAGTAAGGTGGTCTGCTGTTCATAATGATAACTTTGACATCCCAAACCTTTCAGATAACATTTAGCCCAATTCTGTGCTTTCTACCTAATGCTTTGAAAAATGACAACCTAGGACTGTCATATA